CTTGTCCATTTCTGATTTTGGAGTAATTTACATTAATAAGAAAAAAACAACAACACTAATTTATAGTAGGGTTTCTGATGCTCTGTCCATGTCCTGATTGATGTTCTGCCTGACTCAGATCAAGTATGTTCTTCCTTTCTGCCCAGCCCTGCCAAGTGTTCCCTGCCAGGCACAAGGAAGGGGAACCTGCTGGATGCAGCTATTGCTGTGACCAATGGAGCACTCTGGACCTCCTCATTTGGTGCAAGAGGGTGGTATGGAGGGTTGCCAGGTGCTGAGGGGGGCTGTGTGGCTTGCTTCCCCCTTGCCCAGAATGAACCTAGCACCCCAAAGTCTCTAGCAAGGAAGTAAAATTTACAGCATGGCTTTCAAGGCAGATGTTGAAAAATCAGAGAGATCTGGGGGCAGGGGACCCTAGAGCACACAGCCTCCCTAGAAACACAAGCAGCTCCTCAGCACCTCCTCGCTACTTCCACTCCTCCCTGGAAGGCATGTACTCCACCACCCCCTGGTGGCATTTTGGTAGCAGTGCATTCCCTAAAAAGTCACAGTTGTACTTGGAACCCTTGGCAGTATATGTATGGACACTTCTCTCCAGGGAGAATTGGGAATTGTTTCTCAGTCAGTGATATTATTGGAACACTTCAACTGCTATATCTGCCCATATGCTTAGTCTTTAAATGCCCTAGATATCATTTGCAAACAACACAAACCAACCACATTAAAACTAAAATTGCAGTAGAGTCCCCGGGTGTAAACAGACATAAAAACTTGTACTGTTTTTTGTATTGTTCCAAGAATGTCACTAATTGGGAACTGGTTCACAATTGTCCCTGGACACAAGTGTCCACAAATAAATTACTAAGGGCTTAAGTAGAATCCCCATTTAGGGATTGTACTGCTGCCAAAACACCACCAGGGGATGGTAGAGTCCCCAGACCCTCAATCCTTCCAGGGCTCAGAGCCCAGTTTCCTCAGGATTCCTATAGAGTGGGAGGATGACCCAGAAGGGTGCAGGGTTGGAGTGGAGGAGTTGCCAGGTGCTGCAAGTGGAGGGTTATGTGGCTCTAGCTCATAGCTCTTAGGGGGCTGGGGGCTCCACCACCTATCCTCCCCCCACAAAAAAAGAAACAACAAAAAACTGCCCAGCTTTTTCAACCACTCAAGTACCTTGCATTGTCAGATGCGTGTACAGGGTGGAACCAGCAGGACAGGGCTGGCTGCAAAAGTGCAGCACAAAGAACAATGAACAATGAACAGTTAATGGGCCATTTTACTTCACATTGGCTGTCAGTTCCACCTCATCCAGTTCTATTAAGTGTCCATTGTGCAATTGCTCTGTTTCTCTTCACCCCACCCAGCAATTAACAGGTGTTTACTGTTTTACTGTTACAGGCACCAACCCACTCATCACAAGCAGGAGGGCTGCAAAGCACCCCCCCCCCTTACTCCCTTCCCCAAAAACTTAGAACAGAGGCTTTCAACTTCCCCATTCCTGCAGATTGTGGCAATAGTTCTTTGGGAAGTAAAGTCCTGGTTGCATCCCAGAGCATCCTCATTACCTTGCAACCAGGTTGGGGGTAAGGGGCAGCTCAGTTAAGATGCCCAGGCACTAGGCAGGGAATGCTCTGTGTCCACATATAACATTGAACTAGTTCAAGGAGGACCAGCTCAAAACAGAACTTGATTATCTTGGTGTGTTTTGGAAATGTTCTAAGTTTAAACTGGTCTAAAGTGCTCAGATGAGCACAGACATGTGGTATGTGGTGCCGCAGACCCATCTGTGGTGTCACACACTGCATGAAGAGAGGTTTTAGATCCCAGGGTAAAAAAAAAACCATGCCAAAAAAAAGTGGGGTGGTACACATGGCAGCAGCACATGCCACCCAGAATTGGACCCTGGCTGGCCAAAGCCATACTTCCGCTGCCAGCTAGGCTTTCTGCCCTGGCTGCAGCCCCAGGAGGCCCCCAGGATCTCAGGTAAGAATGCTGGGCCCAGCATAGTTGTTGGTCCCAGTCTCCCCTACCCCACGTGGGGTAACCTGCTGTGCACCAGAATGCATGTGACACAGGTGTTCATTGGGGACAAGTAGCAGCGGCAGAAGGTGTGTTGCTGCTACTTGTCCCTGAGAAACCAAACATCCACACTTGTCTGGACACAGTCTTGGGGTTTAAATCTATTTAGAATGTTCTAAGAGTTATAGCTATCTGCACCCTGATTTCTTCTTAGTCCTACTGAGGCCATGACAAAGAAACAAACTTAACCTTGAACTTCCCTTAGCAAGAAAAAAATGTTCCCTTTTCACTGAAAAGCTAACAAAAAGAGTTCACAGAAAGGGAAAAAATTTCCAATGGTTACTTCTCATTTGACATTAGTCTTTACTGTTTGAGATGTCTGAAGGGAAAAGATGTAGCCAAGGTCTAGCCAAATTTTGTGCAATATATTACTAGAAGGTTACAAAAAGCAAAGTCAGATGTATCTACTATTTTGTTATTCCAGTTCCTGGAGCAAGTCTGGGTTTCTCTTTACTTCTGCTTAAATGTAGTGGACTTCAGAGAGATGGTTTGGCAGTCAAATATCATTTAAGAGAGGGACTTGAAGGCCCCTTTTTGAGACAGGGGAATGAATATTGTCAAACTGGAGATTTTAGATGCAGATACAAAAATGCTAAACATAAAGACTCTCTCTTTGTGCAGCTTACTCCAAATTGTCTACATGTTTCTTCTGTTATCAAACTAGTTTCAGGCTAAATATCAGTGATGATTTGCAATTATTTGAGCCAGACTGGGATATGTGACTCCTGTATACCAGATGGTATAGCTGTAACCAGAGTAGTGTGGTGCCATATTGCAAAAATATTTCCCACCCTCAGAGCCTGCACTACAAAAAGCACGATTAAGGAGGCATCAGAGTAAACAAAGAGACTAATGGGCCAACAGACTCCATATTCCCTAGTGTACAACTGAAGGACTTTAAAAATCTAGTGCCATGCTTATTATTGTACAGGGAATCATTATGGAGGCAACTCATTCTGGGATCACATTCAATATAGAATATATTTAATCCAAGTTCTGGCATAGCAATGCTGTGAGACACTGAGCTGCACCAGCACTAAGGGCCTTGTCTCACATTCAAATTAAAGCTGGACAGAAACCAGCTATAAAGTTGCTACATGTTTTCAAACACAAACTTGGTAGCTGGTTGGCTCTTTTTATAGCTGTATGAACATTTTTATGGCATGTTGATTACTTTGCACATGTGCCCAGTCTAAATGTATTGCATGATTAACTAGTTAATTGTATGATAATTACTTTGCACATGTGCAATTAACCAGCAAATTGCACAATATATGTAACGTGGCAGGGACCTAAAAGCTCAGGAGGCACCCCTCTCCCTACCCAAGCTTGTTACTGAATGCAGACCCTGGGGTAACTGTGCCTTTGTCTGAAGACTATAGGGACACGCTCTGGGGGATGTCTAGGTTTGGGATGCAATGGCTGTGCCCCAGAGCTCCCAACAGTGGCACATGATTAATGCCAGGCAGCACACTGCAGGAGCACAGCAGCAGCAGCTCAGAGGCACGAGTTAAATTAAATGACTTTTTCTACCTAGGCGACATGCTGCACCTAGCAGACTAGGAGAGGGTAAGTGCTCCCTTCTCATGTCGTTGTTGTGACAAGATATTTAGCAGAATTCGCAGATACACTGGTATCTGACAGGGCTGTGAGAGCTTCTGCCATGGCCTCAAATACGTAACCTCTGGACTGTCAACCTTGCAGCTTCTCATCCGTGCCATCCCAGCCCCCATATCCTATTAGGCTGCAGACAGTAAGTCTGACCATCTTGAAGGATGCCTTACTTTCACACTCTGATACACTAACCACATCTCAAATCTCTTATTCTAAATAAGAAGGGAATCCTACCAAACCCACATCCTTCCCATTGATCTTTTCGCAGTATTAAAAGTTTACACTTATGGTGTAGTTATTTTGGGCTTTTTTTTAATATTGAATTTCTGGTTGCTAACACCAGAACAAAAAGTGTCTTCAATTCCAGAAGACGTGGTGCTACACAAAGTTGCTGTGTTTAACATTTGCAGCCAGGCTGATTATCTCTCATAACTTGAAAATTTTCATGTCAGTGGGTCAGCGTCTGTATCTGCATCTTTTTGTCATTAGGCTATATCAGGAGTGGTCAGCTCAGGAAAAGCCCGACAGGCTCCTCGTCCCAGGCCTCAGGCTCTGCAACTCCAGCCCTTTGCTGCCCTGAAGCCAAGCTGGGGGGGAAGCCAGCGCATGTGACACTGTCAGCACAGGTGGGTTTCACACAGCCTGGGGGCAGTGTTGCCAGGTGCACAGTAATTATCATATTTGTATGATAATTTCAACCCTTATACAATGTATGATCAATAATAGTCAAGAATGTTCAAAACATAGGATAATTACAGAAACGTTTCAACTTTGATGACCCAGTTCTCACTCACTGGAGATTACAGCGAGCCATATAAAGTAAGAAGACATAAGTTTTTCAGTGTACAGTAGCTTTGCAACAAATAGGATAATTTTGAGCTTCCAATATACAATAATTTCGTATTTAAGGCTTGACAGCGCTGCCCGCAGGAAGACCCAGTAGCACCTACCACCCTCAGGGAGGCACCCGCCCCGCCCCACGTGACCGCTAACTGACTCTGCCACCCGCCTTTCAGGCCCGGTAACTTCCCTGACCAATCAGCGCGCGAAAGCGCCGGAGCACCCTTGGTGACGCGAAGCCTATGAAAGAACTGCACAGGTAACAGTTTAGCGAACAGCCGCCGCCGCCCGGCTTGGATTGGGATTTAAAAAAAAAAAAAAAAAAAAGCAAGCCCCGCCTTTCCGAGCTCACCCCCCCCTCCCCCATTG